ATCGATTTGCCAAACCTAATTTTGTACCTGGGAAACGGTTAAGTTTTAACGAAACAATTATCGGGATAGTCACTGGCCTAACATTGAAACTGCATTACCATAGAATACCGGTAGTGACTCATAACGCTAATCAAAATTTTTCCTCTATCATTCATTTTAATTGTCTCATTTTAAGTAATTTAGTTGTGTAGCGTGAGTAATATAAATAGAGGAACAAGGTTTGTAAACCGACTGTAGTCGATAGAAACGCGAAACAAAAGAGTAAAATTGGAAACAAGCAATATTATCTATTATTTGTCATTGCCTGTATCCTTTAAGTGAAGAGGTTTGGCGTCTTCATCAATTTGAAACCTTCTTAACTACATTTTCATTTTGAATATTCTTGTGGTAGTTTGTTTCTATAGGTTTCCCATCCCCATTGCATGGTCCGCTCATAGATTCGTCATAGTATAAGCCCATTGTTTGTAAATGTTTCTTCAGATTACTGCGACCAATAATATATCAGTAATCAGTTTCTTCGACCATTGATTTGTTGTATCAGCATCAGTCAGCTCATATGATTCTGCTGTTTCATCCACCGAATTATAATGGTATCCACCGTTGTTTTTGGTATTCCAAACTCATATTCAATACATTCCTGCGGAATCCTTTTTTGTTAGGATGTCTACATTTTTATTGCTCAGTCTTCCCTTGAAAGAATACATTGGTAACAGTTCATTTGGAACCAGTTTTGAAGTGATCATGTACCTTTCCAAAGGTTTTATTGTTGCTTGACTATTGGAGTAGATGTCTTCCCGATATATTCCCGCAAGACAAATTTCGACAGCTTGTCAGCTTGGAATATAGTCGCAGTGCTTCCTAGGAACAAAATTATTTTCAATCTAGTGCTTGCACCAAATATTTCTGTTCCATTCCCATTGTCAGGTTTGATTACATCAATTTCTAAATCTGTGTAGGTATGTGATATTCACTTTATTCAACAAATTTTAGATTTTGATTTTCTCTTAATTAAATCGAATTTTAAAGATAGACTCGTGTGATAAAACTTACTACAATATTTAAATTTATTTAAATAAAATGTCAATGCACTTCTCTGAATTTTTTATTTAATGAACATTCTTTTATTCGTCTGACAATGGGGTATTGTTAAGAAAGTAAAAGTAATATATGCAGGCTCTCTCTCTGTCTCCCGACATTCTATACACATTCCGTCTATATAATTTCAACAATTGTACCTACCTCACAAATAAATATATATCAGCTAAATGCATCTGAATTGTTCAAGAGAGCGTTTCCTAGATACCTGCATAAATTCGATGACCTACTATCCCAGTGTGCAATAGCGAAATACCAAAGGAACTCGATGTAATGTTACTTTCTAGGAGATGCAGTTGTGAATTTGAATAACAGATAACAGTCTGTAAAGCTGTCGATATCTCTTCAAGTTTCTCTCGACGAGATTGCCGTAGGAGATTTCTTTTGAGTGTATTCACTTGACGACACAATGTAGTCGTCGTTTCCTCTGGAATATGATAAAATTTTTCTAGCGAGATTTGTATTCAATTACTTATATATAGAAAGATTGAATATTAATACATCCGAGTTGTTTTTTATTAGTTTGTAAGGTTTAGGGTATCACAGTTTTTCTATGCGCTAAAAAGGTCTATAATAATGAAGATCAAAGTTCAGTGCACAACTTTTAATTGTCATTGCTCAATATGTCAATCCGATGTAAATAAAAATAGTTTTCTATTAACAATAGTAAACACTTGATAAAATAATACCATGTATTGTTTTCAATGTTTTTGGTTTCTTCGAGAGATATATTTCGTAAAAATTTTCGAAGATTTGAGCGTGAGATTCGAGACAGTTCTAATCACCGAATAAAGGTCGATTTTCACTATGGGGCGAGTAGTGATGCCCTTCGATCACATACAGTCCAAGAAAATTGATTGTTTCCATCACAACGGTTCCACAATAGCAGGAACTAAGCTTCAGGAGCAAAAGTTGTCATTGTTACATTTTTGCATCATAATCTTATCTAGCACGCTTGTACTTGCTAGCCGAGCACTAAACTAAGTACAAAACAAATGAAGTATCAAAGATAGACTTGACGAATGATTCTGTGATCTCTCTCTTCTACTTGGAAAATTGGTACCTGCTTCAATAATCATTTTCCATTAACCAACATTTTTAGTAACCCACGCTGTAGTTATTATCTTTTTTTATCATCCAATTCATGTTTTATCGACCTGATTTCCAAGATATCCTACAGTGTATTCTAACCTTGTTTTATCTACGAAAAATATTATCTACGAGATAAACAAATGTAACTGTTATTTACGTTAATTCCAGTGTACCGTCAAGTGTTAAATTAACCGGTGAGTGATTTCCTGAGTGCGTGCTAGTGCATTTTTTCACGTATTTCAGCTGTTTCCGTTTCACTAGTGTGTTATGCTCTACTGTTTTGGAAGTGGACTGACAGTGTAGTTCTAACAATGACCGGCAAGTCCTGTTACGAAATTCCGAAATTTATGGACAATCTCTTACTGTTCTTCCATATTCGGAGAAAGGGTATGCATGCTGCTTTATTAAAAAAATAGTGTACCTATTAGATTATCACTTTCCTCGAGACCAAAAATTATTAAGCCAATGAACTTGGAGTTGCTACGAAAACTAACTCCAGGTATCATACTGAAATTATTTAATTACTTACACATCTCTCTCTCAAAATTTATGTCAAGATGTCATAATCCTTGATGTTTTTGTCTGACTTAAAACAGTTTTTGATCATACTGACACCTAGTACTTGTTTAAGGACATAAGATAGGTAACGATTTTGTCATACTTTTAAATTAAACACGGTTGTGCGCAAGCTAATGTTAGTATTTATCGTGAGTCACTGATAGTTTGGATAATGAATCAGTCAATAGGTTCCTGTTAATTCACGAAGGTATCAATTTTGTATATCTAAGTTCTCGATTAAAAGTAAGCGAACGTTGTCCATGCAATTCACACGGTTATCAAGCTAATTTGACAGCTAAAGGAAGGTTAAGGTACATGGTAGCTTCTTTTCGGTAACTTTTTTTGCCTCTCTTACCTAAATATTTATAAAAATATTTCTTGTCGTAAACAATTTACATATTACTACGTATCCCTTTCAGCCACCAGGGTTGATTTTAGTCATCTTTTGTCTTTTTCCTTCTTTAAATTTAATTTTGCTTGCAAAGTAAGCAGTATGACAATGATAATGATAAGGATAATGAGGTTACTTCGATATCTTTAAAAATGTGACTAGACCTTCAAGTTATTTATAGACAACAGAGTGTATTTGATAGAATGGCATTAAAAGTAGTACCTACTTATAGTTTCTCTTCACACACTGGTATTATCCCTAATAAGCTACTTTGTTTGCCACCGTGTTCCATTGAACTTTATATGTACTAATGTAAATCTTATTGGATAATATTTCAAATGGTGCTGGTACAGGCACTGTAAACTAATTTGCTTTGACAAAACTACCATTTAATAAGTCTATTGTCTTAGATTTTTTTTACATTTAACTACTACCATTGACGGTTATTGGTACTAGTTAGCAGAATAAAATATAAAATAAATTAAATAAGTGTAGTCTTTCAAACTTTAGTAGGAAAATATATTGACCGCGAGAAAATGGTTATTCTTCGACCGTGTTAATAATTTCTTCTTGATTTTATAACATGAGTTGATCGAGCTCGTTGAAATAAAACTTTGGGGCCTGGAATATGTCCTATTAGGATAGTTTTGAAGACATTCGCCGTAAATTAAAGTAATTCACAAGTTCGTCATTATTGCATCTGTATATGATTTTAGCAAAAATATTTATTACTATACTAAAAAAGTCAAATGGTTTGTTAAAATACTAAGAATAATGTCCACAACAAGCTCACACTAATACCTACATTCATTCCAACCCATCATTGGAAAGACAAAACTTTGAACAAAAGCAATACTGAAATGACAAAAAGCGGTGATAGGAATGACAGCAAGCATTGATTTATATTTACAGAACTGGCCTGGCGTCAGAAATCTCAATAGCTTTAAATACCTATAAATATCTGCTGTTATAAAGCTTTCATGAGTGATTTTTTTTGTGAAAATTATTTTGTCATGAGCTATAACACCCTAAAATTAAAACCCCACTTTAGAAAACGTCCTGTATAGAACCTTACTTACGGAAACGACCCTATATATTTGAAATAAGTTGTCGGAAAATGCTGTATGCAACTAATCATAAAGTTAATGAACTAGTGCCATGTAATCCAAACATCTGGTGTTTTAATTTACCGACGCTATCGTACAAAAAGCGCAAATAGTTTTTACAAATTTTAAGCCATTTACTTCATTGGTAAAGCCATGTGGCATGTGGAACATTTGGTGTTTTAATGCAGTAGATTTTGTTATTTAATCTCGAGTTAAATACGTCGCGTATAAGCAGTAGCACGACGGTAATATAATATGTATGCAAGCTGCATGGTGGTTCGTTTTAAATATTTGCACAGATGTGATGAAACTCGAGAATGCCTCGTTTCGCTATAAACAGGGTAGCAAGCTCAGAGTAAATGCTGCTATTTGTAAACTAAAGGGTATTTTTAAACTACATAATTAATATGTTTAAACTGGATTTATCAGAAGTAACTGGCTAAGCTTAAATAAAAAACAAGGAAGTCCTTTTATAAAGGAATGTCCGAAAGCACTTCGATTTGGAGATACAAAATGTTGCAATTTTAAAAAAATTGGTTTTCTAAAATGTATATGAATATGTTTGAGATAGAGTGATGAAACTTGGATTAATGATTTATCTAATTAAAGGTAAAAGTCCGCTTAAAAAAGCTCATAACTCGAAGTTTTAAATTTGAATTCACGATTGTATTGTGTACCTCCGTCTCGCTGCCCCTGTTTCTGTTGTGCTATTAGATTCCGCATCGACTGAAGTTTGTGACTCGTTCTTCCTTTTTCAGGCATCCCCGGTCTACCAACATCAGGAGTTACTATGCGGGAAAAGAAGAGCGGCGCCCTGTCTCGAATGCAGAAGCTCCGGAAGAGGTTGTCACACTCCTTTGGACGATTATGTAAGTAGAACTTTGTATACCTTATCCTCGTATTCCACACAATTCAGGTTTAAAGTGAATATTTCTACTCAAGATGCTATTTCATACGTGACTTCAAAAATATTTAAGGCATTGGATAATGAAACTTTATGTATTTTCCTAGACTTGGCTAGGGAAAATTTGTTTTAGTTTATTTAAAAATTAACTTAGTCATTGAACGAGTATAGCGTTGCCTAATAAATATTGACGAGGTAACAGTGGAGTATGGTGTCCCACATGGCACAGTATTGGAGCCTATTCCGTTTGATCTATACATTAACGATCTTTTCAACCCGGAAATTGGTAGATTCATTATCAGTTTTGCGGATCAGGAAGCTTATATTAATATCAAATCGGTAGTTGAAAGTTGATTTTATTTGTGAATTTTAATTTACCTTTTTTTCAGTTACAAATATTGTGTTGTGGCTGAATTAATTTTACTTTTTCCTATTGGGTTCGAGTTGGTGGCATATATCGTTGCTATATTTAGGGTTTTCAGCAGCATTTAATGATAAAATGATGGAAGTGGGTTCTGTGATTCGAATAAATACGATTGTTGTCCGGAAATGTCGGGGTGAAATGGCCCAAGGATTACGTGACTGTAGTTGCGAAGGTTGTTCTTTTGGGGCGTTGTTCATCCATTTGTATTGTATTTGTATTCGCTTTCATTCAATGTACCAGTAATTACATTCGGTATAATATTATTATTTATTATCTTCATTTGGATATAATAACATGATATAATTCGAGGCTTTATTTCCAATAGAGAAAAAGGTATATTAATATAACATAAAATAACTAACATTCATTTTCAAAAGCATAGTAAATATGTGGAATATGTGGTGATGTTATATTTATTTATTACTGTTATTATACAAAAGTTTTAAAGTCAAAGATAGAAGAGGTGCACAGTGATGGAGATGTATGTCAGTACATATTGCGTTGACAGAAATACTCTCAGATATAAACTTAATACGACAAAAACTGATAAATATCAAGTGATGATAGTCGTTTTAATCAAAGAAACATTGTATGAAAATCATCGTAGTAAATGTTATTTTTGTAAGGCAAGAGTAACATACATGTTTAAACAGTTAAAATTAAATTTTGTAATGTTCCACATGCACACATTTTGTTTATTTTACTAATCGAGTGTCAATAAAAATAATACTACTACTAATGTGGGATTTTATGGACTAGCAAATATGTTATTTAGCTATAGCTGTGTGTGTTTTTTCATTCAACCTGACCTTGATATTGTGATTAATTTAAGAATTATCTTTAGGAAATGCTGATAATTTGGCGTTGGTTTCAACCATTTAACTATTATGGTACACTAACCTGTATTATATCGATAAATTAGTCGACTACATCGATAATCTATTTCTATTCTTTCCAATCTCTCTATCTCTGTATCCAATACTAGCCAATTACTATGCTTTTCAGTTTCAAAGTACATTTTTCCAGGGCTTTAGGATATTAGACATTGGTTATTCATTCATCCTTAGGAAGGAAAGACAAAATTCATGTATACATATATTTGATCCGTCGTCGTGTATTACAATTTTGACATTCCTTTTTAAGGTGTATTGATCCAGTAGTGTTACCATTGACGTGGAATATAGTTACATAGGCGTTATTGTAGAAATGCGAACAATCGGAATTACAAGAATGACAAATGATATCCGATGATAATTAGTGTATCAGTTTGCTGACAGTATCTGGAGGAAATACAAAGAACTGATTTATGATAGACTCGTGCAACCTAAAATAAGGTTATGTTCCACGAAACGGTAGCTCTGATACCCGTGTAAGGCGAAATGTGTAAAACATTGTTATTTTACTTTATAATTTGGGAAAGAAATATAATGAATTTGTTAGCCATTGAATCCGAATACAACTCAAGAAAGCTAGATGATTAGATATCCATAAAGTATTTTTTAATGTCATTAGTCCGTGGTTAGAAAATATTTGTGTATTTAGAAAAATTAGCTTTTAACACAAGGTTCCAAAAAAAATACTTGTTTATTCTATGAAGCAAATCAGTTTCATAGGTTGGAAGTGTTGAATGCTGTTGTTTATTTGATTTTGTAGATGTATATCTGCCTTTCTCATTTCCTGTTATAATTAAGTCCGTTACAATGCCAACTGGCTACACATTTGTGAAGCAGACTTTGACCATCACCTTTCTCACTATGTAATAAAGAGCAACTTATAAGTATTCATAAACAAACTGGATAACACTAGTTCGTATCTGTAGTTCATTAAACTTAAAATGCACCAAAATTTATAAAAATACTTCAAACCAGAGCACCATCTTGTTTCAAAAGCTGAAACATTTCCGTGAACGTATTCCCAAGTTTCACACTAAATTTTACGTTGCATCGATGTTCCAGAAAATCGCACATTTCAAAAATCCTCACTAACACTTAAACACGTTGTATAAAAATGATATCACGAAAACTAAATGCAATTCTTCCAACCACGTATCACTAAATACCACAAAATGTTCTGTTATTTTATGAACAGGCCTCGTACATACCCTTTTTAAGTAAATTATCGTTGGTAGTTGCAGCAGGAAAGTGCCCGTCTGTTTTATCATTACCGTTCCACTTTCAGTAGTTTGTTTTCATATTGGGCCACAGTAAATAACTTTAAATACCTTAATTATTCTTCATTACGTTACTCAGACGTTCTTGAGAAACACCTATTACCATAATTTATCTCTGGATAAACATAAACTCTGTTTAACAACCGTTTAAGAGCAATTTATCTAAGTACACTGAACTGGAACTCTAACGACTTGGAGAATTGTAATAAAAACAAAATTTGCTGGAATTGATGGAAAGTTTTGTTCTTAGGTGCTATTGAAAGGCGTTTTGCTTATGCTGAATCCAGTGAGGCACTAAATTTGAAATGCATCAAGCAGAAGTTGTCGATAGAGTTCGAAAATTCAGTTGGGACTATAAGTCAAGTGCAGTTTTAGCTCGAAGTGAGTAAATTGCATTTTGTACCATAAGTTGACACAAAAACAAGGATTGGTAAAATAGTAATCAGAAGGTGTAGAATACTTTGTATCAAAAAAACGTGCGTTTATTAAAATTTTGTTAACGTTCAATTTAATTCAATTGGACAATTGATCCACTGTTATATTTTGGTGTATTACTGAACAATTAACTTCTGTTGCAAAGATTGACATTGTGGTACCTAAACAAAATTACAAATAAGGATCAACAAGATATTTATGACCTTTAATATCGACTACGCAAGGAATTTAATTCGTTTAGATTAATTTCATTTGTATAGATAGATAATTTTTCATTAAATTTCAGAATATTCTTATAATCTTTTTTTTTTACTTTTAAAATATGTGAATTGGAAATTTCGTTTTGCGTCAGTTCGTTAAGACACTAATCTAATGATAAACGAATGCAATAATTTACTAAATACTATGTTCTTTTTAAGTACAGTTAACCTTATCTTTTGTCTGATAAATACTTAATATCCAACGTAATTTTTCTTTTTAGACAACAAATCAACGTGCTGCAGCTTAAATGATTGTTCTACATATTTATAAGTATTACAAACCACGTACGAGATGTGGAATATGGCAGACATGTGTTGAGCGTTTAGAAAAAAAATCGAAATTTAACAGTTTTATAATAAATGTTAAAATAAATAAAAGCCAGTTCTTTGTAGCTGTGGAAATTGTTTATTTATTTTTTTTTTATAGGGTGGGGTTTATAACGGTCAACAGAAAAGCGAATAAATCTTTTCCCGCTCCGTATATTAAAGGTGCAGGCTATATCGAATTTACAATACGGAGCGCGATATTTTACCGTGTACAGACTCTATGACAGTTTTTGCGGCTTGCCCGTAGGGTTTCATGAATATTTCATCCACGCGCAGCATCTCCGGAATGGAGCCGCCCGCAAAAAATAATTTAATATCAATATTTTAAGAAAACTATTTATACTGACCGCGCTTGTGTCTTTCAAACTGGTTCCCGGGACGGCTCTAAGTCGGTTTATTATGCGGTTTGAGAAATACGACCGAAATTGTATCTCCAATAAGTTTTTTTGCCCGGAATAATGGGAAGGTTGTATTTCCTTAACTCGCATGCGGTTAAGGGAATTTTTTTGATATTGCACAGATAATTCTGTCATATTCTCCGTCGTTTAGTTAGTACTACTCTGTATAAGAAATGCAGAGATCAGCTGATGAACTCTTCAACTACGGACAACTTGTCACATTTGACGTGACGAGTGGAATAACTCCGCCCAATAGTACGCCGGAGACGGTTTAGCTTGTATGGGACATGTACAGTTCCTGCTAGTCTAAAAATAATTTCCACTAAAAGTAGAAACGTCTATCTGAAAAAACACATGCTTAAGTAAGTATTTTATTTGACAAATACTCACTAAGTCACTGCTGCAACACTGCTTGTGTAAACCAAAAAAAATGTCTGTGCTTCTTCAAAATATTAGTAAAGAAGAAAAAAGGAATGCCAGATCAATTCCGTTTCTATTGATTTGTCCGTCTTAAAATTTTAAACAAAAATTGTTGTTTTCTCGTATAAAAATACATTTACTAGACCACACCAGACATTCCACATATCGCTTCTATTTTCAGTACACCCATTTTTTTTTACCAAGTCTCGATCATGCCCGCCCACGCACGCAGATGATTAATGGCATCGGACAGGCCGCCGTCTCTTTCTCATTCTTGGGTAACGTCTAGTAAAAACCCGCAGTAAGTCTTCTGTCGCTGTTGCCTCCCGAACCCGGCATACCATCGTCCGACATGACTAAGTGAACCGTTAAGAGATAGCGCAATTAGGCCGTGGTCATTGAGCGTCGATGAGGACCGGTTTTTGGGAAGTACGGAAGGTCTTGGAAGGCCAAAAGACAACAGTAAAGAACACTTCTTATAATGTGATAATATTCGTATGAAGACTTAATGTTGCAAACATTTTTTAATTT